AGGGTGGTCAATAGTAACAGTGTTGCTATGATGTTGGTCCCCATGGTAATGGCTGTCATGCAACTGAATAATTTCAGCACCAAAGTCCCAGAATGTCATTGGACCTTCCTCCATCTGGACCAGCCCAAAGCCTGTTGCATTGAACTCATCAACAAAGACATTGTGAGGACTTAGAAAGGCATGCTGCATGCTAGCAGCAGGGTCTTCGAGAACATGGGGTGGATAAAGGAAGTTGAGTACAGCATCCAAGGAACTTGTTGAATGTAACAGTAACCTGGCTAGTTTTGGAGGGTGATCAAAGGCAGGTTTGACATCACTGTGCAACATCTTCCAGGATGCATTCAGGAAGTGGAGTCCAGCAGATATCAGGGCATGAAAAACTGGGACTGAAGGTGTCGCGACGTGCAGTTCATCTAGAAAGATCATTTTAAAGAAACTTTTCAGGGTGCATCAGCTGTAGTCAGTGTCGAAGCAAGAAGTTGGAGAAGACTATGATCTCATATTGACGGAAGTTCAACAGGCAAAGATGATTCATTGCTGGGAATAAAAATGAACACCGCACCACAAATGACAGGTCATGTGAATAGCTGCTGCCCCATCTCCAGCTTCAAGCACTTCAGGTCAGTAGAAAGGATGGCCCTATGTTCTCTAATAGGCCACTTCTAAGTGATGGATCCACGATCATGATACACAGATGCATGTGCCATACACCACCAAATTGTGGTTGGACCTTAAATGCCAATCCAAAGCCATCTTTATCATTGAGGCCCACATAGAGTACATGCTATCTAGTGAGATTTCTGGTTCTTCTCAAGATAGCTTCAGTGATGATGTGTAGATGTTGCATTTTATGTAAGCAGCAGAACATCCAGATTATAGTGGCACGCTTGGATTTTGCATCCATCCTGGAGATGCAGAGTGAGGTTGTCAAATAGGTTGGATATTGGTTCAGTTTCAGTGCATACACATGCTCAACAAATGGCGCAATTTGAGGAGACTTCCAGAAGCACAGTGTTCCAGGTCTTTGTAGGCTTTAATTCGACGTGAAAATACCTCCGGTTCGGAAGTAAAAAAAGTCACATGTACGGTCAGCACATCTTTTTGTCACCATCCTTTCCTCTCTCGGTATATACAAGTCTGTTAACGTCAGTAACCTGACCAAGGTCCCAGGACTGCGCGGAGCGCCCTTCTATTTGCTAGTATTGGGTCGAAACAGGTGAAGAAGCACCTTTTTGCGTCCGCTCAGCCAATCACAGGTTTCAAATCGTGCTTCTCGGCTCAAACGTCAAGAAAGGTTGGGTTAAACCTCCTTTCTTCACCCAAGAAAGAGAGGCGCAAAACGCAGTGATTGGTCTGCTATCCATTCCGCTCGCCGATGCGATCGTTACACCACTTCGGCCCAATTGCATTGGGTTGTAGTCAGCATCTACTAATTTGTATATGCTGGTCGGTTGACGGCTTGAACACGTTTGCCAATTTAACTGCCAAGACGGTCACGCTCTCTCGACTTCAATGCCATTACAGGGCTCGACATGAAACAGGATGATAGCAGCGCGCTCCAGTGTTATACATGCAAAATTCCTTCCTGCCCTTGCTCTGCGGCGCCAAATTCTACATATACGGATATGTGCGATTGGTCTTTGGAGGCGGGCAATCCCAATATTGTCCCTGCTCACCATGTCGATCTCTTTGTTTCTGTTCGTTCTTAGCGTCCTGCTTGTCTTCCTCGGATGGCGTCTCAATCTCTCACGATTCCGACTTCCGTCGTACCTTCGCGGGCCGCCTCCCGAATCTTGGCTTCTTGGTACGCATATCCCCTTTGCATGGGACAGCCAGAGCTCTAATCAGTTCGTTTTCCACTAGGTAACCAAGGACAGGTCGTCAAATTTGAGGCTGGAGTCGCGAACCGAAAATGGCGCGAGCAATATGGCTATGTGTATCGGTTTCATGGCTGCTTCGGAGTGTGCCGGTTGCTGTCACCACTCTGAACATCACAGCTGATAGTGTACAGATCGAATACTTGATGTTGAATGATGCGAATGCTATCCAGCATGTATTGCGTGGTCAGACAACTTCATGGGGATTAGACGACTCGCTACGCCAGTTCCTGAGACTCGTCACCGGTATGTGTTCTTCATGGAACATGAATGTAGCTCATTGCTCCCGCAGGAGAGGGTATTGTTTACGCTGATGGTTCGTCGTTCTCCACCGTTTAAGTTTGTGCGCTCGATTTACGTGTTTCTAGGTGCTGATCACGCACGGCAAAGGCGTCTCCTATCACCCGCTTTCAATCCTGTGTTCATCAAGAGCCTTGCGCCTACCTTTGCCAGCTGTGCGTCTCGAGTGAGACTTTTACACTTGAATTGACACCTTGGAATTGTTGACGCAATGATAGCTGGTGAAAGAGTGGAATCGCCGGTTAGATGCGGAAGGCATCGATGGGAACTGGGATGTCAACGCGTATCACTGGTTGGAGTTGCTCACGATGGAGTCTATCGGTGCTAGTACGTCTTATTTCCGAACACCGCATACATATCAACCACAACTCCTTCAGCTTTATTTGGCCTCAGATTCGGTGCTTTGGAAGGAGAAGAACACGAACTGATGAAGTAGGCTCAAAGGGATGTTTTCGGAAACACGATTAACGACGTTGACAGGGCATATAGCGGGCTAATGGCAGACACCTTTTCTCAGCCGACTACTGTAGGAATCCTCCTCCAGAATATCATCCTGCACATCCCGCCCTGGATCATCCATCACGCCGAGAATTTGCCACTCTCTGCGATGCGCCAACTTCGAGCGGCAAAGACAACATGTCATCAATTTGCCCATGACCTTATTGCGCAGAAGAGGAAGGAGATCAAGGCAGACCCTACGAAGAAGGATCGGGATTTGTTGACTATTCTTGGTGAGCCAGTTGTAATCGAGAACATGGCCATCGCCCTGATCTGCACTCTCCCAGTAAAGGCTGGGGAGAAGAACGAGAAAGAGGCCATTGAGCCTATGTCGGATGAGCTGATCTACAATCAATTAACAACGCTGTTCTTTGCTGGATGTAAGTCACCATCACGTTGCCATCCCGCCCATGCCCATGATTGAGCGCGAGACAGATGAGACCGCCACGAACACCGTCTCCTTCGCTCTTTGTGAACTCGCTCAGAGGCCAGCTATCCAGGAACGTCTGTATGCTGAGGTTTCTTCCGTCCTCGGTACCGCGGCGGATGATGAGCTTGCCGAAGGCTTCGACGCGAATAACCTAGACAATATGCCCTATCTAGAGGCCGTCATGAATGAAACGCTGCGTATGCACCCGGCTGCCAATCACACGATGCGCGCTGCAACGATCGATAACAGCATCCCGCTCTCTAAACCGATCGACGCAGAAGATGGTCAACATGTCCATTGGATTCCCGTCCATGCTGGGCAGCGCGTGATCTTGAACTTCGACGGGTTCAACAGATCCGAGATCGTCTGGGGTACGGATGCGAATGTGTTCCGTCCCGAGCGCTGGCTGGAGAACGTCATGTCGAAGGTTGCGCCTGAAGATCAGTGCGGCGGGCCATATGTTAACCTGGCTAATTTTGGAGGGGGACCGAAGGCGTGTATTGCTTGGCGTTTTGCGTAGGTGTGATTATCACGTGACGGTTTCGAGATCTAAACAGTTCGCAGGATCATCGAAATGGAAATCTTCATTGCCATGATAATACGACAGTTTGAAGTCAGGATCTCCAATCCTGACTATGAGATGTGGA